AAAAAAAAAAAAAAAAAAAAAAAAAAGAAAGAACCGTTTTAAACGTTTTGACGAGTACCGATTGTTCCGTGCGGGATTTTCTTGCGTCCTTACGTTTGCAAAGGCCGTTTAATTGGCAAAGTTTTTCACCTACGAATCACAAATCCCCATCTGGCAGGGAATTTTGTTTCGAAATTTTCTCGGCTCTTGCTCGTTAACGGCGTTCTTGCGATCCATTCTCTCGTAGAAAAGAATGGAACGTAAGAACGTTCGAATAACGAAAAGTTCGAATCTCTAATTAACGGTAGAACTGTTAATTAGAGGTAGGATGTTAAAGTTAAAGTTAAAAAAAAAAAATAATAAATAAATAGAAATCTTTACGATACAATCTACAATACACGAGTTTTCACATTTATACATCTTACAAATCATTTAAATCTGCAACAAAAATTACAAATCGGCCATTTAGACAGTTCTAGCGTTGCTAGAAAGCTAATTTGTAAATTATGCTCGTGTCTTTCAGATTTCGTTTTGCCTTCTCATCACCACGCCACGCCGTTGACAAATTTTTTTCTCGCGCAGGCGTCCAACGATACGCAGGCTTTTCGTCACGCCAGCATAATCCAAAGGATTAATTTGATTTCGCATTCGGCGGAAGTTCATTCGCTGGCACATAACGTCCTGCTTGGATGGATCCACCGGTGATGCTTCGTGACAGCGAAGCTACGTCTGCAGAAGCACGCCGAATATATATGCGTAATGGAATTCAGCCGGATAGGAATACACCTTTATTACATGCCGTGACTCGAAGGCAAACAATTTCGACAGACAATTTCTATTCAGGATTAGCTTGCCGGCGTTTCGCTCTTGCGCAAGCTAATCGAAAACCGCTGATGTCACCGCGGACGACCACCGCTCGTTGAGCAGAACGAGCATTGACTCACGAGAAGATGCAACAATTATTTGCATCGTGCGAGCGATCGACGAAAGGCAAGACGAAAACTCATGTGAAAATTCCCGCATTGGTGGTCGAAACATTGAGTTTTTCGAGGCGATGCGTGCTCTCCGACAGATTAGAAAGATGGCCACCCATCGGCAAAGCTATCCAGAAGATGTTCGTAGTTAATTGAAGACGGCTTCGGATCAATAGGCAAACGATATTCAATTAGACAAAGGGCTTAAACGTTAACGAGCTCGAGATTTCGCCTTTGATATTCGCCCTGACCCAGATATTACCAGCGTCGATGATCACAACGTCTCTAACGATCAATGAAAGGAAAACGAAAGGAAACGCCTACGTATGAAGGAAGCAAAAGAGACTGAGGGAAAGATGATCACGTTTTATTCGTGTATTCTCGTAAAACAATTCAATTTGAATTTTACTCGGCTGTCAAAGTTTATTTATTCGAATCATCGCCGGATGGTGCAGGGAGGCCTCTCGGCTCGCAGAAGCCTCTGCTGTTGAATCAAATTTCACAGCACAAAACAACCTTTCATCCGCGTAAACTTTTAAAGCCAATGAACGTAGCAAATATAAGCGTGTTGGCAATCAGTTGCAAACTCCTACCCGAACGCATGCATAATTTCCCAACCGACCGCGAGTCTATTCTCGGAACGTGAACGGCAGCAACTCACTTGCTCGCGCTCGAGAGACTTGAAACGTGCCACTTGTTGAAAGTGGACGAATAATTTTTGCGAACAATTTCTTAGTGGCTTAATTCGTAAAAACGAACGCAGCCTGAGAAAGGAGTGATCCAGAGTGAATATTGATTTCTTTTTTTACGCTATAGACTTTGTTGGAATATACGAATCCATTACGCGCGCACAAAAGAATTGACAATGAATGGAGAGCTTGGAAACAGAGTAGTGTAAT